CAGCGTGGAGAGGAGGGCAATTCCGGAGGAGTTGACACGGCTGGAATTCATGATAGTTAGACGGTTGGGCGGTGTGAATTACCTGATGGCATCGCTCGGCCATCCTCCAGAGCAGGTGGCGCCACTGCCGGTGCAGTCGAGAACGTGCTAAAGCACATTAAGCGGTAATGTGGTGAAGAATGGGAACGATACCTGGTCGGAGAATTGGCGCTGATCAGAGCTGTACTTGCCGTTGACCCAGTTTGATTGGATTTCGATGGCCGCCACAGAACTAAACGATGATTTTTGGCGTGAGAGGTCGAGAGAGAGAGAGAGAGAGAGAGAGAGAAAGAGAGAGAGAAAGAGAACTCACGAGAAAGCCCAGCAACATCCGCAGCTTCCCTGGTTTCGGATCGGGTTGACCAGGCCGTACTGACGGTAGTCCTCGGTAGCCGCGGCGTCCTGAAGCCGTTCAGGATAGAGTTAGGCAAAATCTCTCGGTCTTAACCCCCTCCCGTCTTTTACTTTGCAGTCGCTTTCAATAAAGTTACCCTCTTACGACGACGGGGAGCGTCATCGGGATGAACGGTCTGAACGGACTCATCGACCTTCGGGAGGAAGTCCTTGCTGAGGAGGCGCTAAACTAGGCGAATTCTCGGGGCTAGTGGTGGTATCTTACGCTGGCCTTCTCCTCCTCGCTCAAGTCCATCAGGTCAGTCATACCGAGCTGGTATCTGAAGAATTACGCTTTCAAAAGCAAGTTTTTTAGTGACTTACCCGTCGCAGGTCTTGTTCTTCTCCAGGACGTATTTCCAGTTGCGGGCGAAGTTCCTCTTACGGGCCTTGCACTCATCCGATCCATCGGCGCATTTGCGTCCAAAGCTGAAAAATTGAGAGATATCGTGCTGCGCCAGATGACACTAACAAGTAAATGATCGCCGTACCGCGACTTGAAGGTGTTGAAGGTGTTTGCCGTGGCATCATCAAGGATACCGTCCAGATCGAGTTTGGACAGGGGACCGGCAATCACCAGGGCCGCGAGACCGAAGAGTGCGAGGAGCGCGAGACGGCTCATCGTATTTGTTACCCTGAAAAACAGTAGTAGGACGCATTTCCAGGGAGCACAAAAGAGGTAAGCGTTGAGAACGTGGACTCGAAGTCTTCTGGGCTGCTCCAGGTCGCCGGAAGCTTGGAAGGCTGATGCTGGATGTCTCCTCTCTGCTCCAAATTCTTTTATACAGCTCTCCACTGTTCCGATGCCCGCGGTTCCGCCAAAAAACCGCAATAACGTTCAAAATGTCAATATAACTGCCCCGGACTGCACAGCTGGAGCTCGGTTTCGATGCGGAGGTTGATCGGATGGCGTGCAAGATTACAAACGGATCTGCGCGTTCCCCTTGTACCGAGGAAGTGGACGCTGGGCCTCACTAGGTTCTAGTAGAGAATCGGATGCCCATTACGATGACTAGCTACCGCGACGTTCAGCTATTACACTAGCTGAGTTTAAGATTTGCTCAGACTATTTGAATGCAACTATGTAAGTATAATCTTTAAAGTTAAGCAACAGTGCTACCAGTTTTCCTTTTTCCATCATTCCACATCTGTTCTAGGACTGAACACGCCCAAATCGATGCCATGTTACGATTTTAGACAGAAGGGGTGCTGTAGTACCTCCAACGATAAGCAATTGTTTTATGAATGAAGCATAATTTCTCTGGGATGCCTTGTCTATGTGATCTTTTTGAGTTGCTCCTGCGTTCTTGGTGCTTGTGGCAAAGACCGACAATTTGAAAATCAATTTCATTCGATTTTTTTGAGAAAATTTAATGCAGAACCAGTTGACATTTCATGAGCTGCAAGGAAGGACATATGTTATGCATCAAACACAGTAGCTGGTAGATGGCGATTTATTCCAAAAAACTACAATCGACGCGCGTTCCGCTCATTCGAAACAGGTTTTTTGTCTTAGTTGTTTATCTGTATCGTGAATCTTCATGTGGTCCTGTGAGATAGTTATAGTATGTTTTTTTACATTAGCATCATTCCATAACCGCCTTTGTGTTGGTGTTACTGTGCTTTGCAACAATATGTTTGATCATTTTTATCTGTGCATCCATCAACAAGATTAGATGGTTCCGCAGATGGGGCCAACGGTGTGGTACGATTCGATCGAGGCAGTGTCGGCGCCGCGCTTGATCTAAAAAACGGGATACGGTAATTTTTTTGCGGGGTGCGACTCGCCTTGAAGTATCCAGCCATGCCCCAGCCGGTTCCCCACTGGTTGCGTCCAAGCCAGTAATCGATGCCACCCTCAGTTCCTGAAATATTACATTTGACTGGACTATGCCACGCGCTCATTACCGTATCCGATAAGGGTGATGGCGTGGCCTCCCTTGTAATCGGAATCGGTGGTCTTGCAGTTGCGGGTGTAGATGCCGTTGGTGTATGAGTAGAAGTCGTTACAGACTTGGAAGCCTAAAATTTTGAGTGAGCTGATAGAGAGCGAGAGAGAGACAGCGTGAGAGAGAGAGGGAGAGGTAACGACTGCCGACACCTACAAGCAACAACAGGTCCAGTGTACCAGATGAAGTCACGAGTTCCGGCCGGGTTGTTGGTCAGCATCGTCAGACCGGTGACCGGGCGGACGACGGACTAAAACTAGGCATCAACAGTAGTTGCCGACCTTACCGGGGTGGGGCAAGTAGTGGACTTGGAGGTCTTGTAGGGCAGGGTGGCGAGAAGCGCGATTCCGGAGGAGTTGACACGGCTGGAATTCGTGATACCAAGGCGATTAGGGAGTGACTTACCTGATGGCATCGCTCGGCCATCCTCCAGCGCAGGTGGCACCACTGCCGGTGCAGTCGAGAACGTGCTGTAAGGATTTCGATACCCTTAAGCGAATCTACCTGATCAGAGAACTGACGCATGCTGCTTCCGTACTTTCCGTTGACCCAGTTTGATTGGATTTCGATGGCCGCCACAGAGCTGAAATTAGGATAGCGAGAGAAAGAGAGAGAGAGAGAGAGAGAGAGAGAGAGAGAGAATGAGAACTCACGAGAAAGCCCAGCAACATCCGCAGCCTCCTTGGTTGCGGATCGGGTTCACCAGATCGTATTGGCGGTAGTCCTCGCTAGCGGCGGCATCCTGAACAAGGTATTGATTAGTGGCTTCCGCACTATAAGGTTGTTTAGCCATCCTCGGCAGCATTACTTACCCTCTTGCGACGACGGGGCGCGTCATCGGGGTGGACGAGCTGGACGGATTCGTCGATCTTCGGCTGGAAGTCCTTGCCGAGAAGGCGCTAGAAACAATCATTTCTTTGGAACTGCGCTCGTTTCCATACGCTCTCCTTCTCCGCCTCGCTCAAGTCCATCAGATCCGTCATGCCGAGCTGGTATCTGAAGTCACGACGAGAATGATCGAAAAGATATCGAGTACCCGTCGCAGGTCTTGTTCTTCTCGAGGACGTATTTCCAGTTGCGAGCGAAGTTCCTCTTGCGGGCCTTGCAGTCAGCCGATCCATCGGCGCATTTGCGTCCGAAGCTGGAAAATGGAAGCGTGTAATTTTTGTATATAACCGCTCGTTACAGACGGGTGGCAGATAACGTACCGCGACTTGAAGGTGTTGAAGGAGTTTGCCGTCGCATCATCGAGGATGCCGTCCAGATCGAGTTTGGACAGGGGACCGGCAATCACCAGGGCCGCGAGACCGAAGAGTGCGAGGAGCGCGAGACGGCTCATCGTATTTGTTACCCTGAAACGGTCCGATTCCTGGTACGAGAAAAAAGAGAGAGAGTGAGTGAGAGTGAGAGAAGCTAATCCTCGTTTTGGATAACCAAGCCGATGAAGCCTGATGCTGAAGCCGAAGAAGACGCTGATGATGCCCCTATTCCACACCGGCAACCTTTTATACAGACCCGTCCCGACAGTCCAGTGTCCCAAAAACCCAATTTCGCCTAGTATTTCAATAGACCAAGTTTCCGGGTTGCTTGGTGCTGAACGCGCGCAGCTGGATGTCGATCCCGATGGGACATCCATTTTTTGTTATTAATCCAAACCCGATGAAACTGGCGCTTGCTATACAATGTTCCGATCCGTTAGAGGGCGACAATTTCGGGCCCTAGCCGGTCGGAAAACGAGAACTGGCTATTGTGAGACGGAGGTCTGTGGAGATGGTTTTGAGCCATTCGAATCTGTGTGAAGGGTAAGATTTAAAGTTATGACGGGTAAAATATGAATTTTTGACAATGCAACTCTGCTTTTCATTCTTAGGTGCTTTCTGCGCAAAAAAAAACCGCCGGAATTACCTCGCCGGTGCGCTTAGTAGCATAAACAACTCGTTTTAGAACCACCCACAGGGCACCGAATCTAATATTAATGGCTTTTTAACACCAGCTTACGATTGTTTAGATGGCGCAGCCTGTCTGGAGGGAGTTGGGCGGCAAAAATCAAATCCTCGCTTCGTATAAAGCCCGAAGAACTAGGAAGCTAGGCCAGAAAAGTCAGAAGCGATGGAAACTTTATCAGAATCGACCATGCGCGTCGATCAAGATTTCCTGGCGCCACAAGTTGATTATTATCGATTGGCAGTCGGCTCTCACGCTAGCTATTCCAACTTTCGTTATTGCTGCTATACTTACAAAGCACTTTTTCAGAGGCAAGTTCAACACAGTGTTTGCGACAATCCTTAAAATCGAGATTAAATGAGAAATCGTGGAATCGTCATCGAATAAATAAATTCGAAAATCCAGACCACAAAATCGTTGTTAGGGTGACAAATTTAATTTTTCAATTCTGATAACGTTCCCCTCCGCCAGAACTCTCGTGATCCCACTAAATTCCTACTTTAAATCAGCGAGTTTTTCGATTTCTCTTGGAGAAGGTTCGAGTTCGGTCCCCCGGGAAATCAAGGCACAATTTGCGTTCCGGGAAGCGACAGCCGATTCATCGCTCACTTCTTAGAGATTTCCGGTCAAGTCACCATTGTACAACAAACCTCTCATATTCTATCGTATCCAAAAATGGATACCGAACTGCCATTGGCTATCAACTATAAGGGAATCGTCAAAATAGTGGCTATTATTGCGCTAGCCCTGCCAACTCTAGTATTGGTATTCCGAATTAGCTGCCTATGCTTTCGCGGCAGGTTACAAACGCCATTCACTAGAATTTGCTATTGTGCGGTGGTTACGGTATATTTTTAGTGTCTTAGGAAAGATTTTTAATTTATTTTAGGACATGTTCAGCTTCTTCTTGGACCTTGTAGCCTGGGACCTAGCCAGCGCCGGGATTGTCCCATTTTATGCGGGTCTCGAGCGCGGGTTCCTGCCCGTGGCCTTGAATCTGGGCCAGACGTGGGCTCGCAATTTTGAATTTTGTTGTATGGCCTTGGTGGCGTTGAATCGGTATACGGCGTTGTATTGGATGGGCGCTAGAGGGGATGAGGTGAGAGCTAATGGACCGAAGCTTCCGAAAGAACCTATGCTAGTGCCAATAAAAAAAGGGGAACAAAGTTGTGGATAGGAATTCAAAATATTCCAGAAACTTTGAGCCCGAGCTGTTTATCGTTCGTATCGATCTGTAGTTTTTGAGTTATGGCAAAATAACCTTAGGGAAACGTTTTTAAGCCGTATTACGACGGAATTGAGAAATGTTTAGTGAAAATGAAGCGCTGACCATTTTTCCGCTAAATTTTTTTGACTTGGCAAAACTCAGCGTTGAGATTGGCTATATAAGTTTTCTTGAAAAGTTAGGGTCAAACCCGAAATTAAGAGAAATCAGGGATTTAGTTAATCCCGGAGTTGATGTTAATCGGTGCAAAGTCCAAAAAGATAACCGAAAAAAAGGAGGCAAAGATGTTGAAAAACAGGGATTTTTGCCATAACTCGAAAACTACGGCAGCGAGTGGGTGAATACTTTAAATACCCTTGTGCACCTCTGTTCGAAATTTCAACGGGGCAGGGTATACTTCGCCAACCACCCCGGGTGGTACCACCCCTAGGGGTGGTTGGGGGGGGTGGTGGGGGGTGGTTGGGGGGTGGTCAGGGGGTGGGTTGGGGGTGGTCAATGCATTAGCCACCCCACCCCACCCCTTACAAAATTTTTTCATGATCTGGCAATAAAACTTTTTGGTCTTCCGGCTACATTGTCTTTGAGGGACCATATCTGACTCGAACAAGCTTTTATTGCCAAATCATGAAAAAATTTTGTAAGGGGTGGGGTGGGGTGGCTAACATTGACCACCCCAACCACCCCTGACCACCCCCCAACCACCCCCCACGACCACCCCAACCACCCCCGCCCCACCCTCCAACCACCCCTAGGGGTGGTACCACCCGGGGTGGTTGGCGAAGTATAGGGCAGGGCCCAAAAGGCCAAAATGCGAGCGTGACCCTTTTTATTGGGACACCCTGTATTTTTCTTCGATGTTTCCGACTGTTTCAGTTCTGGCGAACGGCTTTGGTGCCACTTTTGGTTGGCAGCCAGCTACTCTCCGTGTCTTTTGCCGTAATTTATTCGATAGCTGGGGCCTACTATTTTGCGGCTGCCCGCTATACGTGGTATTTGGCGGCCGGCTTGAACAGATTTGTAAGATTTGTAGCTTGTACCTTGGGCTTATGACAATTTTCGTGCTACTACATCCTCCAAATTTGCCATTTTAAAAAAATTGATAAATTTTCAGCCTGGATTGAGCTCCGGAATCTGGTGTCTCGGCATGAACTGCATCGTCGTCACCATTGCGCTAGTTTTTAATGGGCTCGTGGTTCGGAAGCTGTTTCAGATCCGCGGAGCGCGCAAACGCGATAACGTCAAAGTTATTTCCAGGGTAGGTGAAGACTAGTTTAGTACACATCGGATAAAGGGGAGGGGGGCACACAAAGCTTTTTATAACCGCTTCGCGGCCCCGTCTAGGGCCTGTAAAAGTCAATCTTCAATTTGCATCCTTCTACCGAATTCTATAGGACGAAAAAGTGAAAAACGCGCCCTCTCTTTCTTTTTATAAGCCGCCTCCACTTCCGGTGCATGCTAATTCATTCCTAAGAAAGGGGATGGCCGCGAATTTAAAAAAAAACCTAATTTTAGCGGCGAAAAAAGCTTTTCCAAAATCTGATAAGTGTGCAGCCATTCCCAGGCCATTACGCGCCGAATGACGTATCAAACACCCCCGTAGCTTCCCTCCTTCTTGAGATACGACTCAACAACCTGGCGGAAGTTGCATGCCAATGCACACACACAGGAACTATTTTTATATATAGTAGGATATATCTTAAATATGGTTTTTTTCCGCTATAAAAGAGCTCTAAATATCTAAAACTCCGAAAGTATCCTAAGGCGTTAGCCTATGGTTTTCAAAAATCGTTTTGAGGCCATAAAACCTTTATATTAAATTTTTTCGTGGTGCAAAAAAGTATCCTAGTATATTTTTTGATGCTTTCTCGATTGGCGATTGGCGATTGAAAATCTCGAAATTCTCTCAAAAATTGGGCTCTCCCCAAAAATTTTGCATTACATTATTTCGGGCTGAACTGACTCTTAGTATATGTTTGGGCGCGCTATCAAGTGGTACTCGCGAAATCCCGCAGTATTTACGAATCAACTATAATAATTTTGTTGACGCGTCCGTCCGTCCGTCTGTCTGTCCGTGTGAAGCCGAATTCAACTCGAAGGGGAAAGGAGCTAGAGCTTAGGTCTCTTCGGATTCGGATAGAGCGTGGTCAGAAACCCCAAAACTGATAAAAAAATTACGAAAAACTTTTAGTTTAAATTATTAAAATTAACTTTGAAAGTGGCGCCTTAATAAAACGAGTGGGGGCCCCTCTCCCGGGAGGCCACGCCCCCTTTTCCTTCGCCCCTCTTCCCCAGGCCCTTTCCCACGTCCAAATAACTTTTTAAGTTACTTTAATACTTTTAATACTTTTTAATTATGTTAATTTATTATTTAAATTATTTAAAGTATCTAAAGCCATCGGGAAGGTATTTAGGTAGTTTTTGAAGGGGATTTCAGCCATGGGGGGTATCTGAAGCCATCGGGAAGGTATTTAGGTAGTTTTTGAAGGAGATTTCGGCCCTGGGGGTATCTTGAAGCCATCGGGGAGGTATTTAGGTAGTTTTTGCACGGGATTTCAGCTATCGGGGGTATTGATGGAGGTGGGAAGGGATGTGGTGTAGTGGGACATGTAGGGTAGCCCGAAGGCCAGATGGTTGCAGTCGCGAAGCGACTGTAACCATCTGGTTTTATAATAATGAGTGCCCCCCGCCCCCGGTTACCCTATGTATACCGCTAACATTACCCAAAATTGATACGTAGAAATATCATGGAAAAATTCGAAAGAGAAAACAGATCGACAAAACGCTTGAATAATCCCCTTTTCAGGCCGAGCGTAAGTTGTGCTTCGTCAGCCTATATTCATACCTCTTCGTGTTGATTTACATTGGCTCTCAGGTGAAAGACTGACTGCTATCTACTATATATAAATTTCTAATGTCCGTACGCCCGTCCGTCCGACCGACCGCCCGACCGGGAATTCAGCCAAATTTTGCATTCAAATTCAAAGTTCAAATTGTGCAATGCGGGCGGCGGGCGCGCTGAACCCCGGTAGCGGGGGTCAGCGCTGGTTATAACTTAAAATTGAATTTAGTGCTGCAACACGTGGCTGGAAGAAAAGGACAAGGACTTGACCCATGTAGGTGATACTCAAAAACACCAAACTCAAACTGTTTTAGTTCCTGGCCCCGCTGAGCTCGCAGCTGCTCTGTCTGAGCACGGTGTGGATTTGGTACTGGTACTCAAAGGATTTGCGTTCAATGCTGAGCAACAGCGGGCAAATTGGCGATGGGGATACGAGTGGGTCACGCACTGTCGCTGTTCTGACTTTAAATGAAAGGTTTAGGAAATAAAGGAATTTTTATCGGTTGCTATCAATTGCAACCTTGGTGCACCAGACATGATTTGGATCTTGTTTTTTTCCGAAGTATACTATTGACGTCGGATTAATCCGATGGTCGGTTTCTAGAGTTATGAGGCACTCGCTGACCGATAGCGTATTAAAAGGTTCAAAATTTTCAACTATGCAGTGATGTACTAATTGCCCCACTAACTGTAAAGTGTTTTTACTCCGGCTGGCGTTTTAGGCGGCGTGCTGGCGTTTTTTAAATTAACGCAAAAAAATCCAGATTTAGTCCATTTTTTAGCCTAAATGTCGAATAACTTTTTAAAAAAAGTCGGCAGCAAATTTGGAATGATTCTGATTCAGCGAAAAATTCTGCATAAGATGGGCTTGGTCCCATTCTAAAACGCCAACCTGAGTAAAAACACTTTACAGTAAGCACCGGACATGAAAGACGATTTCCCCGAAATTCCATGGTTCAATTAGCGTCCCAAATAGTTGGTAAAACGCTGTAAATTGTCACTTGCATTCCCTAGAGACTTTGTTCGGTACAGCAACTGTCCATTTTGTTGCCCTATTTCCACCCAAATGTGGTCATCAATCGGCTGTGAGTCCGGACTCCAGCTTACAAGTTCTCAAGGAAACCTTCGAAAGGCACGGTGGGTTTCCGATCTGGGTCTGGTCCTCCTATCTTGTGCAGAATTTTCTCTGATTTCAAACCTGTCTCAAAAACCGCAAATAAGCTCGGACTCGACGGTAGGTCCACAGAAATTTCGAGCTGCCCCCCCCCCCAAATCGGGGTCGTCAATTTTTGCTTTAAATGGAATTTTTAAATTTTTAACACTAGTTTTAGTGTTATAAACCCTATGTTTTCAAAAATTTTGCCTGCGGCGCTGTAGTTTTAGTCATATTAGTGAAACATTTTTGGGGTCGCCCCCCCGAAATTTGGGTTTGTTACGGCCCTGACTACATTACAGTTGATAGAAAATGGGGCAACATCGGTGCGAATCGTGTCCATGGCGACTAGAACGGTTTCACAAACATGACCATTCGATTCAAGTAAATATATTATTATGGATATATATATTATGGATAGGACTTTCGACTATACACAGGGTGTCCCAAAAAAAATTCCCCCCCTAGCCGGCCGCAGACTTGTCCGATTTTTACGATTTAGGTATCTATCGAAAGCTCTCGGAAAGGCGAGTCCAGCCCGTCGTGCGGATTTGCGAAATGTCGGCATTTTTCATGCCAAAAGGACAGACTTTTTTTTGTTCCAAACGTAATCTAACCGGTTTAAGCGCTGTCCAAGCTGTGTTTTGGCAAACGGCTTTTAAAAAGCTGTCGTTGGATTGCCAGGAAAGGTGTAAAAATTCTAAAAAATTGCGATTTTTGTAAAAAAACCCCTGGTCAGAACAACATCAGAAAATCCGCCCATTTTGGAAAAACATTAGTAACTGGTGGAAAAAATTCCAAATTATGAAAATCGAAGAGAAGTGCTGGACTCGCCTTTCCGAGAGCGGTCGATAGATACCTAAATCGTAAAAATACGACAGGTCTACGGCCGGCTAGGGGGGATTTTTTTTTTGGGACACCCTGTATACAGTTTGAGACAGAACAAGTAATGACGATAAGACGCTTGCACAAACTTGAAACTTTGCTCTGGGTCGTGATATCGAAAACGAGGAACGAGGAAGCTGAGCAATTAATAACCACCGGAAACTGATTTCCACCTTTTTCGCTCACAGGTGAAATTGTTCGCGCGAGAGGATAGCAGCCAGTTGCCAACATTTACGGAATAATGGTTGTGCAGGATGGCGACTTGCTAATCGAGTGCTGCTTTTGGTATAAACAATTTGCAATGTTGATTGTGCTGCCGTTGGGATGTGCAACGATCTGGACAATATGGACTCAATCTGGGGACACGATGAAAGCCATGGTTCCGTATCTGTTGGTATTTCATGTAAGGTTTTTGCTCTAAGCTCTGATCAACGCGGTCCGCCATTCCAGGGAACAATTTTGATGTTTGACCTATTTTTTCTGGTGACAGATGTGAGAACGTGGTTTCCTGTGATTGGGCTTACCTATCGACCGATAATATCAGTGCCGTTTTTGCTGGAGGTGTACTACGTAAGCTAAAAAAATGGAAATGAAGGAGGGTGAGCAATTAGCCGATAGCCTGTGGACTTTTGCTGACTGGTGTCTTGGCCATGGGTGTGCTTCTGCGACGTCGTGCTGCCGCCGTGGCTGGCGTGTTGCGGCACGTTCCGGAAAAAGTGCTACTTACTGTCGAGGTTTGATTTTGTCGAAGGAATTTGCTCTGATTTTCAGCGCCATTCCATTCTGTGCTATTCTAGGGGGTTTTCGGGGTGACGATGGAGCTCGGTGTCGTCTTGACGGCCTATTTTGGTGTAGCCGATCGTGCAAAGGCCGAGCAATACTACAGGAAAGTGGTATGGAGCCGCGCCGCGTACTTTAAATCGTTAATTGATTAGTTTCCACATCAGCTAAAATTGTTGCCTTCTGACCAGCCTGCCGTTTATTATGTCCCGTCGATCAACCCGATTTTTAGTTATTATGTGAGTTTAAAAACGAAGTCTTCCAAAACAAGATGTTCAGATCGGGCTGTTGTGCTTTCTAATCTGCGTGCTGGTGCTCGAAATCATGTTTTCGATATACGCTTTTATTCACGCGTTAGAGAGGAGGAGTCGAGGGGATGTCTCGAGGGTCCGATCCAAGCAACAAACGCGAGCATACCAGTGTATTTTATTGCAGGTAGTAACGGATCTTGGTTATTTTTAATGCAGCTTGTACCTTCAGGGTATAAACTTTTCCATTACAGTTCATGGCGCCCGCTTCGGGAATTATCTACAGCCTAGGTGTTGGATTGGCGGCAACTTTTGGGGTGGACCTGCCCTTTGAATGTAAGCAAAAAAAGTTGTCGCTTCGAAAGCCATCTGCAGATTTAAATCCACTGCTTCCGATCACCTTTAGCCTGAACACCTACTGGGTATCTGCTACCTGTATTGCCTTTAATGCCAAATATAAGCAGTATTTCTTTCAACGTTTTGTTCCGAAGTTTCTTCGACCGATCGACGAGTCGCCGGCTTTGCATCCAAGGCTTCTAACGCAAAGTGTTGCTGCTGTTACAAGGCATTAAAAAGTGATAATGTCTAGCGTTTACACCGTGAGGCCGTTCAGTTGAGCCGCTTTTTTATCATAAAAATTGTAAGGCAAAAATTGAAGAGTACGCTCGCCACACTCATTTTCACCCTCGTCATTTCCAAGGTGTACAGCACATTACAGTACGCCATAGAAGAAAACCCAGTCCCATGAACTTATTATGGGTGTATGTACTAGTGAAGGCGTCTATTTTTTTGTAAATTAATCTGGCAAGGCCGTACAGGTGAATTTTTGGCGTTGGAAAACACGCCGAGCAGAACAAGTTAAAGGGATGCCGACGGCATAGGCATTCGGTTACGCGCTGGAAAGAAAATGTCTTTGCGCCTCTCCCCAGCGCGCGCTCTCTCCCCTGTTGGCTACTTGCCAATTTGTTGATGGGGGATCGACACATGCCGTCCGCAGCCCTTTAAGTTATCCCTAATGGCTGACGTTCCTCAAAACGGCGACTTATTTTTGGCGTACTGCTTTTGGTATAAATAGTTTGCATTGTTTATTGTGGTACCGATGATTTTCAGTTTTGAACTCGGCATTGGATGGCATTAGAGGAAAGACGTGCTTTGACGTATCGGCACGAAAAACTAATCTTCTGTATGTACAGGTGTTAACACGATGCCAATATTCTATAATTTAATCAGGTGGAAGAAGGGGTTGTCGGGCAGGCAGGTGAAACATGAACAAGTTGACCGGTCGGCACCCCCCCCCCGCAAGCCCTACAAAACGGCGGCCCACGCCAGTATTCATGGAATGGTGGTTTTGGTATAAGCAAGTCGGGATGGTAGCTATTATACCATTGGCCGGGCGACGGTTGGGCTAAATTGGGCACAATTTACGGGTTCTATGAAACCGATGGTTCCATATATCGGGCCCACAGCCCAACTATTTAAGTTTGTAAAATTTTATTAGTGTCAAATCACAGGGAGCTTATGCAATTTTGGAGCTGAAAACGGCAATTGCCAGTTGATGAACATCAGATGAGCAGAGACTGTTGCGGAGGGGAGATTCGAATGAAGTGCTGCTGATTGAGTGGAATGTATCGGAGAGTGGCGGGATCAGTTTGGCCAACGGAGCTGGAGACGAGCCGGGGATGCGCTGGAAATAAAAACAACAATATAGATTTTTTACTTCCGGATTCTAGAACGGCTAATCAACGACTGGGGACAAAAACTGTCCTATCACCTTGTACATGAAGCCTCTTTTTGTGTCTGACCGGGAGTGCTTTTTTGTGTCATCGGCAAAACCTTACGAGACCTAGATCATTCGATAGAGAATTCAACTCTGAGCAAGACTGCGTTGTCCTTTTTTGCGCAATGGCTATCCCTGATTTTATGAAATTAAAATACTAGTGACCGTCTCTTACCATGAGTGCCTTTCGAGCAAAAAGATAGGCTTTTGGGTGCAGTTTTAAAATTTTGTAAATTCAGGGATAGCCTTTCCGCAAAAAGGACAACGGAGTCTTGCTCAGAATTGAATTCTCTATCGAATGAGCTGGGTTTCGTAAGATTTTGTCGATGACTCAAAAAAAGCACTCCTCGTGAGCCAGGTTCTTACCGCTTCAGAGTTTGGCTTCCTGCTCGTTCTCATTTTTTCCACCTGTTTTTACACGAAAAACAGAACTCACCCCACATGCCGTGGACAGGTAATAATCAGCAAGTGCCCGGGTCGTGTCCTTACATTCCGTCGATTTCAGCGAACGGACAAGGCGTCGGATGAGGTTTTGAAGGGTTTCGCCGACCATATTCTAAAGTCGTTTGTTTTTCTGATGCCCCTTATGAGTGCTGTTTTCGACCAGAGAGTATGGAGACGCACCATATTCTCATCCAACGGTGCGACTAGTTGGCAGAATTCTACACCATCTTCACTGAAAATCCGCTTCTCAGCTGACTCAAAGATTGCTCGAACCTGCAAATTCAAATCTTTGAAAATATCCTTTATGTGCAAACCTCATCCTTGCTCATTTGTTGCTTTAGCGTAATGTTCTGTAGGCTCTCTTCCATGGCTTTTTCGATGTTATCGAAAAGTTGTTGGATGCCTGAAAAGGTTCAGAAATTCGATTGTTGCATTACGAGAAAAGGTATCATCGGCAACGAGAGAGAGAGAGAGAGAGAGAGAGAGAGAGAGCGAGAGGGAGGGAGAGAGAGAGAGAGAGTAACATCGAAAAAGAAGAAATTACCTGTGGAAGTAAAGTACTGGATGCACTGCATGAAAATCTGCTGGCTACCGACGTCGGGCTGTTTCTGAGGTTCAGAAGTGCTCGGGGCTGAGGAGCCAAAATAATTAGCGAAACCTGGTGGAAGATACGAAGACCTTAAATGAATAATATAGATCGATAATAACTTGGCAAATGTAGAAACTACAAAAAATAAAGCGCAGACTGCTTGACTTACCATCCGGTCGCCACTGGTTCTCGCGGCTTCTCAAACTGAGTACAAATATCGGCTGCCAAAATTGAGATCTGGCACTTCAACGTGACAGTCAATAGCGAATATGAGTATGCCAGCGCCAGGATTCGTGCAAAAGAAGTTAACTGAACAAACAAAAAAAAATCGAAAAACACTCCTGATGTGATACCTTCATCTTTTCCCATTTTTGCAGCTTTAATTCCAAAGGCATATCCGGGTTGGCATCAATTTCTTTCTTGATGGCTTCCACGTTGAAACGGACCTGAATTTTTACTAAAATTAGCGATATCTGGCTTTTGCATACCTCAATCAGCCTTCTAATACTCGGGATCAATTCGATGACCGATTCATCGCACGTTCTCTGGTTACTGTCAAAAACGTAGTGTCGCCGCGCCTAAAAATTTTTAGCTAGATTTAAATGGCTTCACTTATTTACCTGAAGCTTTAGAGCGTCAGTTTGCCGTGGATCTTTAGCGGTAGACTTGTCTTGGAAGGCTTGGTGAAGTGCCATACCCGCTCCCACCTAAACACCGATGAAAAACAGGGTTCAGAAATTTTACAATTGCTGTCGTGCCGACGATGATTTTGCCCTTGTGGCGTTTGATAAATTCCCAGGTACCGCTCATTTTTCTAAAACAAGCATAAGAGAGAGAGAGGAAGAGAGAGAGAGAGAGAGAGAGAAAGACGGAGCTAGAGAGCTAGAAGACAACCTCAAAATGGTTTAACATTAAAATTACGATTTCGATTATAGAACCACGATTTTAAAAATTGCGACATCCAACGAGAACGTAAAGAAGGACCCAAGCTCTCAAAAAAAGACGTTTTAATTCCAAAGAAAGACAGCGGTTTAATAGGGGGTATCTTAACAAGTTCGGTTACGAAAATTACGATAAATCGAAGTTGACGAAAGTGAAACCCCGCAATACAGGTAATCGATAATGGGTCTGCAGAAAACAAGCCATGCAAGAGATCTCATCTTTTGGATTGGGGCAGAGGCGGGGGATGAACAAATTGATAAGAAGTGACAGTATAGACTACACTACATGGCCACCCATCTGCCCTGTGCGCCTTTTTTATCGGTTTCCCTCGTAGCTATCCGACAGGTTCAAGTGATGCTCGACATTAAAGGATGGGATGTTTGAAAGTAGCTTTGTCGCAAAAATCGAGAAAAATTCGCAATCAATCGCGTTGCCTATGGCAGCCCATCGTATCGTATCCCATAGATTTTAATCGCCTAGGTGGCACTTGCTTCTTTTGCATTGAAGTAAGGAAAATGTCAGGAGTAATACAATTTATTAAGTTAATTCTTAGTTGACCATCAGGACTTCTTGCTGGCTGGCGCTGCACTTGGCCTTTTGGCAGCGACCCTCCTGAAAATATCGGATTCCTGAGTTCAAAATTCAATTTCGTTTTAGGAATTTACGGAGGCACGGGCGTCCTGACAGCAGCTACCATCCTAAAATCTTGGGGTTAATCAAGTTAGGAAATATGAAAAAAACTATAGATAAACTATAGAAAAACTTGCGTCGCACTGGACGGAGTTGATGCAATCGTGTCCGACTTCGAACTAGAAATTGAGATAGGATTGGCTATTCCATTATAAAAGTAGTGATAACCCGAGATTTAGTGCTAATTCTATCTAATCATAATAACCATAGGTTCCCAAAATACGTTTTATTACAGTAATAGCACTTTCATAAAACACCAATTATACCAGAACCCTCTTGAGTAACTAGGGATAACCACTATTACGCACCAAACCTGATGTTGAAGCGCAAAAAATCTGAAATCATTTATTTTTATTCTTTCAGTTAATGACCTACAATCGGATGGTGCGCTTTTTTCACGCCTATATACCTACCGGTCCAGCCAAAGCCGTAGCGACGAAGAAGAAGAAGATTGTGAAGTAGAAGAAGAGTTTCATCGTTGCTTGAAGTTTAGTTCTGCGCTTTACCGTTAGTTCCGGGTTGATATCGGCCTCGATTTCCGCAGGGCGGAGCACAAGCTGGAGATATCACGACCACGTTGTCGAGCCTGCAAGCGAGAAAGAAAGAAAAGCCATCTCTCCGTCGAACACGTTGGGGGCCAGAAAAAAAGTGGAGGTCGTATTGGGTGTTGGCCGGACAGTGCGGAAGTGGACGGGCAGGGGAGACCACCGAAGGGATGTAAACAACTTTTGTGGGTGGTGTACATCTTAAACGTTTGGGTGGGGTGGTGTGTGTAGTGATGTGTAGCTCAGCGGTTTTTAACAAATTCATTTTAAGACAGGCACGGGAAGACAATCGCTTTTCTAGGCTGCGTACCTGGCCGTGCCCGCCACACGCACCGCTGTAGGATTCTCAAACCATATTTTCGTTTATCTAAGCTCAAGTGTAGTCAAGGAGTCTCAATGTCATTCCAATTTTGTGCAATTTATTCATTATTTTAGTTGAGCATCAGAAGTTCGTGCTGGCTGTCGCTGCACTTGGCCTTCTGGCAGTGTCCCTCCTGAAAAGAGACGATTCATGGGTCCAAATATATTTAAATAGAGGAACTTACGGAGGCACCAGCATTCTGGCAGCAGCTGCCGTCCTGAAAAAGGTGGAAGTTCACAATTATTATATTGTGCATCCGAAAAGTTTTAGTAAAACCTACATCACATTGAGCGGAGTGGATGCAGTCGTGTCCGACCTCATACTGAAAGTTAGGAGTATAATTTAACATTTTGCAATAATGGCAATAACTTTCTTAGGAACTGGGGATTTCCTAGATACCTACCGGTCCAGCCAAAGCCGTGGCAACAAAGAAGAAGAAGATCGTGAAGAAGAAGAAGAGTTTCATTTTGCGTTCGAACGTTTCGATCTGCGGTCTGCACTTGTTTCCAGGCTTTTATCCGCTCAACTTCCGCAGGGCGGAGCATTAGATGAAGGTATCACGATCACATTGTTGAGAGAGAGAGAGAGAGAGAGAGAGAGAGAGAGAGAGTGGATAAATCGCTGCCGAAAGCACGTTGTTGTCGAAAAAATCGAGGTCATTTCGGATCTGGCCGGCTGGTGAGGAAGTGGAATGAGATTTGACAAAGAGCGCAAAATAGGCACAACTTCCTACCGTCTCGCCTCAAACATTTCCCTAACAACCCGGTAATTCTTTTGGAATGGTGCGAGTGGAACGGACGGCTTGACAATTTTTTCGACCGATTTCCCGAAATCGCCATCCCAATCCCGTACTATAGTATTTTGAATGTACGCTTGTCAATGACCTTGTATTTTATTCGCCTAGCGAAACGACACTTATCGTTATCCACAATAAAATATCGATTTATCATATCTTTAGGAAGCGCCGGAAGGACCGGCTTCCATTAAACGCTTTAAAATGGGAAAATATATTTTAGTGGCAAATGGGCTTGTTCGGAAGGCTGGGGTTCGTTTGACGGCATCGATGATGGCGCTGGTGACGAGTGGTGCTAGGCGTTCAGGTACTAAAGATGCAAATGTTATCTCTCTCTATCTCTCTTCTGCTCTATCTATCTCTCTCTCACTCTCTCTCTCTTTCTCTAAAGTTAAAGTCCACCCACCTTCAACTGGAAACTTCAGCGTCTTCATTTGCAATTTTACAAGCAGAATAGCTACTGTTTTCAGCTCTTCTCTAGAATAACCTTCAATATCCCGGAACCATTGTCCTGGTGCGATGGGCTGTTCTTTTTTCTTGGATTTTCGTGGCTTCATCGGTGCATGGAGGAGTTTGTGCTAAAAGAGTACTGTTCGATAGATTCCCCGTCTCCAACCTTTCCCCATAGTGGCTTTTTCAAGCGAAATTCTGCTGAGCAGGGGTCAACGGGGCTCGAAATAGCCGGCAAAGGCAAACTTCCTGGCGTCGATTGAGTCAAATCTGAATGTCTCATAGTTTTTTTAAGTTCAAATGGCTGAATTTTTCTGCGCTAGTTATTCCTCAAATGGTCTACCTCGATGGTCTTCCGTCGATACCTCAGAATCAGGGTTAGAAAGCTCGCAAAAGGAAATGTCAAAGCTGTCCTCATCGATGCGACTTGGCGAGCCACGGATCGGCGATAAGCTGCGGAACTAAAAAGTCAGATAAAAGTGATTCAGCAGCTTTCTAACCTACCGTACTATCGTCGAAAGGCAACATCATGAATATGGAATTTATTATCGGGTTTTTTGGTTTGTGTTATACAAATGCAAGTGATAAAACGCGCAATAAACGAACATCTGCTTCATTAATGCTTGATCCCGTCCTGTCGTTTATTTCCCGCGTAAATGGTCAGTGGAAAGTATGTCACGGCATTAATGATATTGATACCAGGGTGGCGTCGTCACTAATTTCAAAAAATGCGGGGGCTTTCGAAAAAGTACCATCGCGGAAATTGACACTTTATTACGGAGGTTACAGGTATTATTAAAAATACTCTGTAGATACGATCGCTTTTCTTTCATCTCATCATGAAGAGCTCCGCCATCCCCGGTTCACAAGTTTTTGGTTGGCAGCGTGCCACCTAAACCAGTGTGTAATTTTTTAAAGGTTTTGAAGTTTTTTTTACCTGTTGACCAAATGAAGGTTGACAGCAGTGTCCTTTCTAAAATATTTATGCACAAAGTAGGTCGAAAGCCTCAACAGACCTTTTCACATTGTGCTGAGTTAATACATTCCTCACCGGTTTTTAGCTAAAAGAAACTTCCAGCTTTTTTCTTAAAAGTCAAGCATTACCACAGCAAGCGCGGTGGCTAGAAAACAAACAAATAAAATGATAGAGAATAGCTTCATGGTATCCAAAAATTAAGGAGGCTATGGCTGGGCTTTTATAGTGGTGGCGAACAGGGTGTAGAAGCGTAAAATGCTCGAATGGTTGGAAAAACCAAATTTTCGAAAAAGTTTTTCTTTGAATGCTAGAGGTATTATACGGCTTCAAATGAGTATTTTTACACATTTAGGAAAAGTTGTGGACTTCTGCCAAAAAAATTGTCAAAAAGCAAAACGAAAAAATCACGAGCGGATCCGTACCCGCGTCAGTATACTATCAAGCGAGTTGCTTACCAATCGGCCATTCAACGGGTGATCCTATACGGATGGGTGAGCCTAATAAACCTTCCCCGGATTCTAATTTTTCGCATGTGAATCATAATTTTCCGGAAGTGCTGTATCTCTGTCCACAGGGCTCGGCAGGAAAATCAGACAGCGGTATCGTGTTCTCCATAGTCGATTACCCGGGGGGTAGCCGCGAGCGTTTGACGAAATTCCAACCTGTGCGTGTGCCCTTCCCTTGTGAGGAGACCCACCCTGATGTTACTTCAGCCTGTCTTGGTTTAGGGTCGAAACAGGCCATCATTTTATATTCTCTTTCAGCGTATATAGAGCACCCGCCATTCCCTTGTGGTTTGGTTCAAACCGCTTAGTCGGTTTACGCTCGCTTGCGAGTTCAATCCCTTCGTGGGATTTCCGCGGGCTTCGGCTCGTTTAACTCCCCTGCTTGCAGTGGGAGTCTTTTAATTTTAATTAAACAAATTTACACATTATTACACTTCTAATTTATTCAAAAATTCACACATAAATCATTAAAAACTTTTCTTATTATCTTCCAATTTGTTCCAAGACGACTCCGAAATCTGCCGGACGATGAAAAACTGTAAAAAATATATTCATCAGAAAAAATAGCCCCACCTGATAATCCGCTAGTAGGCCCTGTAGGGGGAAGAGTTGGTGACGGCGTCAAATTGTAGCGGTTTAGAAGATTTCCAAGGATCTGGAATCAAAATATCTTTTCGCGTTTGCTAGCATCAACTTACCAAGTAGATCTCCGCTTTAGCCATTCCCTCGCCAGGGCAGCTCCTTTTTTCCGATGCCAAATGGGATTGTCTTCTCGGTCAACTCTTTCCCATTTTCGCCAAGGTAACGCTCGGGAGAAAACTGTACAAAGCAGTTTTTAGAAATTAGCTAGTATTTTACCTTTTCAGTCTGCTCAAACACTTTCGGATCGTCTAGAATTACCGAAAGTTGCGCGGTGGTCAGGGTACCAATTGGGATGTCGTAACTTAGAAATGCATTTTGATAAAAAAGCCATCAAGCCTACCCGGAAATTTTTGAGGGTCCTGTTGTTCTTCTCCATAGATTAAAAGCTAAAATGGAAGCATGACGTTGGATTTCCTAAAAAAATCTTCTATTAACGTTCGGGCATAAGGTGCCAAAATTCCTCGGCCTTTCAGGCTTGAAACGTACGGTACACGCTGCCGTAAAGTAAGGAGTAGATGCGCGATCGGTCAATGACAAATTCCGGTTTTGGCTGGTTACTCTTAGGATCTAAGACCTGCATTTTTCACTTTCTAAATAGATTTACCTCGTCCTGACACCTTTTCATGGCCGCCAAATTTTTCATAAACAGAAACAATCCCCATTGAATGGTCGTGGAAGTAGTGTCCTGGCCAGCTTGCCACAAATCGAACAGATCAATGACAAGGCCGTGGGTTCTAAAAGAGAAAGAGTTGCACTCCTTCTAAGACCCACGTCATTTCTCCAATATCATCGCCACGTCTGCGCTGCTCGAGTAGGTAGGCGTCAATGTAGTCACCCGGCTCGTCGTGCAGGGTGTAGTCACCAGAAGCGATTTCACGGATTCTAGAGCGAATGGAAGATTATAAGTTATGCAAGCGACCAAGAGCGCATCTTTAGAAATATACCTCCGATCAACGTTGTCTTGCACCAACTTGAGCACGGGCTCGATGGCTTCCATAGTGCTTGTGTAACGTCTAAACGTGTCGGCTTGGTATTTATCCTGATGTTCTGATATTACATCTTTTTACTATACGCTACAAACAGCCCACAAAATGTCGTTGTCAAAAACAAACCGACTCAACAGCGGCACATATTTCCACCAATGCCAAATCAAATAGTCAACCGGCGTCACACTCTCCGCCAACTCGTTGATCCCGTTTTTCACCCGGAAAAAGTGATCCCGGCTTTCCTTAAAATATAATTAAAGATTAAAGAAGTCAAAACCCACATCGGTTTCAAATCGATATCCGAAAAGCAGACGATTGATCAGATTTCCGATCAACATATTGACGAAATCCAACGAATTCACTTCCACCTTCCCACTCTTCAAGTTTTTCTCTGTGTTGGTGAGATGGTGGTCGAATTCTGGAACAGGATACGATTTTAACGTTTCGAAATAATAGCTAGCCGACCAAAACTGAAGAATAAGCGCAAAATTACCTTGAATAATTCGCTGTTCCATCAAATTCTTGCCCATGCCGAAATTTCGCAAGGTTTGAAGGGCGAAACGTCTAAATATTTTGATACGATTTGGAAAAATTGAAAACCTGTGCTCGGTCCACGTCTCGCCAACGCTTGAGCCAATTCCCCAAATCTTTCCGGTATCATCCATTTCCGCCAGCAGTGCAAAAGGGGCCAAAAATCGCCCAACCTGCGTGTGACCCTAAATTGATTAAAAATTAGAAGTTGTTTGCAATTTTTACCTGCGTAATCATGAGATCCTTTGCTTTCTCGTAAGTACAAATATTTACAAAATACATTGGGCCGATCCAAAGTGTGTAAACCTCAAAAAAGTGGTCAGTCAGGAATGTTAGCAACCAACGTCGCCGTGGTGTTGCTGGAATTCCTGCATGGCCCTGACAAATCCGCCCTTTCTGGTAGCATACCAGAAAAGCTGAGGGAGATTGCCGAGGATAAGGAAGGGTAGTGGACCTGGAAAAGGCATAGGCTTATATTGATGGTAGGATGATAGGAGACTGAATGTTTATTTTCCAAACCTGGTGGTAACCTCCTGGCTATCGTATATTGATAAAGAGCATAGGTTAAAATAAGGGCAGCGACGAGCAGTAGAAACATGTTGATAGTATACCCCAGAAGCTGCTTACGCAAAATTAACAGCCAGGAACTCTCAGATGGCACTGTATAAATATGTGTAGGTTATCAGCTAGACGCCTCCCGTGGTCACAAAGGGCGATAGATCACATATTTTCCAGGGAGGAACGGGGCGACGAGGGAACGGTACGAGGCTACAAATCTACGGGGTCAAGTCGTGAAATGGGGCGTACCTTCACCGTGCCTTTTTTTAATACGCCCCCGGTTTGAGGCACCAATGCGATCGAAAAATGTATCTAGCTTATACCTCCTAGATAGCAGAAGTTCAGGGCCTCTAATAGTGTATTTTAGCGCTTCTTATATTTAACTTTTCCTTTGATTTATAGTTTTCGCTTAAAAAGTCAGAAAAATATATTTTGAAAATTAAAAATAGCAAATTACTTAAAAATGTTCAAAAAAGCTTAGTTTTTAATAAAAAAAGCGTTTTTTACCCTGGATACTTAGAAACCGGATAAAAAGCTGCGGAAAAGCTTGTATTTCACTAGTAGGATCGACATGCAGGCAATGATTTTCCAACATCCCCCACCCCCGCCAGCAGTCCAGTCCCAGGCAATCCGGTCCAGAACTGCTTGGCACCCTGATAATAATCTCAAACCCATCTTTTTTTGCGATAACTCAAACCTCTTAACAAATCTTTAATTATCAGCTAGTGATTTTTGAGATAAACCATAACTTCCAATATTGGTTTGAAACCGTTGTGTTCAATTTGTGATCCTGGGTGCTGAGGTACGCTGGCTGGTCGTTGGGGACCTTGTTTTTCTCGTTCGAAGAGCCCGGGTGCGGCAGAACTATCTTATTAAGCCGATTAACGCCCGTTCCCCCACCCTCGCCTCAACGCCGATAGCTACAAAGATCAAGCCCGGTTGGCCCGGCTCCGGGAGTTCCGAGAAAATGTTTTCGCTTTCCCTTCCCTTGGAGGAAGGATGAGACTTTAGGCATTTGGTATTTTGGCATTATCGTCAGATGCCTTAAGAAGTTTGTAGGTAACCCGTAAAATCCCAGGTTTAATGCACAAATTCACAAATTTTATCACATTTTTAAAACGTCTTATAGATATCTATACGACTGGACAAACTCCTCCAGATAGACTGGTGATTTTTGAAAAACCTTTATCGCCGCCGTTCGGGTGCTGCGAATACGTCAACAAATACCAGTGCCAAGTATTTATACAAACTTTTCCAATTCAATGCCAAAATTGGACGGGTGATTGAAAACTGAAATAAACATATCTTGTAAGTCCATAAATGATAAAT